AATTAGAAGTGGTGGGGGTAAATTAGTAAATTCTAGTGCGGGCACTTTGATTTTTCGGCACCATGCCCGGCATTTGTATAACCTTAGACACTGTCCTATCATTACCTATAAAAAATGTAGCTTATGTCATATTTAGAGCTCAGAATCAGTAACGATAATCTTAAGCATTTTTTATTAAGTACAGCAATAATCACTATATGAAAAATACTTTCAAATAAATAATATAAGTCATGAATTCATGTTTTTCCACTCATTCATTTTTAGGTTTCGAAGAACCTTCTTGCGAATTTCTATTTCTAAGAGCCCATTTCTTAAAAGCGAATATAATAACCTTATACAAGCCATATATAAGACTACTGGTTAACACTAGCCCAATAATCATAGCAATACCAAAAACGTCTATATAATTTCCTTTAATAAAACCCATTCTTGAATCAGGAGTAATCCATTCTCTCAACAAGACTTCATTGTCCACCTCAAGTTCACCATTCTCATTTCTAATACCTTCACGCTCTGCCAAGTTCATTACTATATCAATTAAATCAGCACCTCTATATTTTCTTTTGCTATTAAATTTTATTAACACTTGCATTCTTTCCGCATTCATTTTAAAACTTTTTTCATTCGTTAATCTTATTACTTTTGATACTATATCATCAACTTTTAAATCAATTTTTGAAAGTTTTAAAGCCATACCACTAAGTTCTAACTTTTCGGAATTTCCAGGTTGATCGAACGCTATTGGAAGTACTAACATTGGAGTAGCAGTATACATAGATTCATGACTACTACTTGCACCACCATGACTTAAAAAAATTTTAGTATTCTTATGAGAAAGTATTGCAAACTGAGGGGCATATTTTGTGACATGAATATGCGGGTATAAATTATCTAAAATATTAGAAGTGGGTATAACATCACCAGTAGAAAGTGTAAATGTAGAAGGCAGTTCCGATTCATTAAATCTTACGGTTGCCCAGATCACACCATCAAGAATATTACTATTGATCAATTCAAGAGCAGACTGTAAAAGAATAGCATAATTTTTAAGAGTAGTGTATACAAAAGACCCTAGAGCAATATACATAGTTCTAGGATGAACAGAAAGAAATAAATCGAGCTCTGAAGATAGATCTGGAAAAATATCAGGCATAAGAGGTCCAATTTCTTGATGAATTGGAGGCCAAGCGGATGGTACCTAGAATGAAGACAATAGAATTAATTATAGACTTTTGACAAAGAAAATTAAAAAGCAAAATCACCTCAAACCCAAAGAAACTATCAACTAAAAATAAAGTGTTGGTTATTCTTCCTCTGATGTCATAATGTTCGCTAACACCGACTTCAACTCTTCTAGCATTGAGATAATTTAAATTTTTTCGAAAATGCCAGTCAAATCGCAATGGTTGTACCACAGCACATATAAACCGATCGTAGAATGTTTCATTCTCCATGTTCACATGGCAACCCATCATTGGATCTGATATAAAGGGAGGTAGTGCTGTAAAAACTGGAATAAAGAATAGAGTGGACAATGAGTAATCAATAAGTAACAGGTGTTATAACCGGTTTTGGTACAATTCGTCGCCGACAGCCATTTCATCGAAAATAACCTGTAGCCAACCCTAACCCTAAATTGGGACCAAAATTGCTGTCAGTATCAGCGAAATTGATTAATACCGTTATAACCACCTAGCCTACAAAAAATTAAACAATAAATACACTCTGTATTAGAAACAAACCCAACAACAGGCTTTTTTACTTTCCATGCTAGATCAAAGCAAGCCTCATTTCTCACATAGTGGCAAATAAATAAGTCAGGTTTAGTTTCTTTATAAACTTCCAAATATTTATTAAAGTATTCTAAATATCTTTGGTGAAACATCATTTGTTCATAGGCCATGCTTTTAAAAGTATATTCATTAAAAAACATTTTTCTATACTCCGAAGATGCATAACTGTCAGGAGGATCTCCAATAATCGTTTGCGGAATCGAATTATATAAAGTAGATGTAGCTGTAAAATTTCCAGGAGCAGCTAATTTTACCTTATTAAACCAATTGATCGAGTTAGAAAGAAGTAAAGAGATAATAATAATGTTGTTCATTGATAGTTTACTTTATACCCACGATCTACCAAAATCTTGCAAACTTCAAATATTGGATTGAGATGATTTGCTCCTTTAAAATACCAATAAATAAATTTAAAATATGAAATAAAAACGAATAAACAAATAATAAAAAACATTGAAATTCACCGCCAATTACAGACCCAACAAGTATATTTTTTGGTGTATCACTTCTATCTAAATCTAGTTCTCGTTGAATAAATCCATTAACTTTCTCCGCTGCATTTGCCTTAGTAACAATAATCGTATTTATAAGAAGAATAATGGATATAACAAGGTACCAAAGTTTAAAACACATCGTTTTTTTTTTTTTTGGAATGTTAAGTGTTAAGGTGAGTTGAGTGTATAACTTTTGAGTACGGTACAGAAAAAAGTATTTGGTAGATACGATACAGAAAAGTGACCGTACCCAGTTATATATTTTTTTTTAACAGGGTACGCAAAAAAAAAAAAAAAAAATCAATTAGCGTACCCAGATTTTTTTTTAGTATTAGGTACACAGAAAAAAAGCGAAGTTAAAAAAAAATTTACCATACCCAAGTTTGCTATTACTAATTTGGGTAAAGGAACAGTACAAAAAATATTATACCCAGGTACGTACATTCAAGTACTTCAATAACACACTGAACCGTGCCCAAAAGGGTAATACCTAAAAAAAAAAAAAAAATTATGCATAACATGCAAAGAATAACTTGATTAATGCAGAGGTTTAAACGTTAACTCTAATGCAATTGCCTTGGATATAATAAGTAATACGTAGTAGCACCATGCCATAATCATATGATAATCATTAACATCGCATATTAATGAATATAAATGCAGGTTCCTTAGTACCGTATAATATTCTCAGAGTATGGATTATAGTAAGACGAACTTTATAGGTTTCATCATTGGCGAAAGGTAAAACCAATGTTTTGTTTTTCGTTCATATGGGCCGATTTGCGTCATTACTACTAAAAATGGGGATGGCTTAGGGATCTCAGTTTTATGCGATGCATATGCGAAGCATAATTTGACCCAAAATCGCATAATCACAATTGGCGCCTTCTGATTGGTCAATTTAATAATCGACAATCTTTTTTTTATACGATATAAAAAATCAAATCGGCCAAGAAATCGCTCGTAACTCAATTTTGCTTATGAAATTACTTTCTGCGTTCTAACATAAATTCCTTGGGTTAGAAACGTCTTCGCTATTGCACATTGATAACCATAACCCTAACGTAACCTTGGCCCTAATTAAACTTAATGCGTCGTTGTTTTTTTTTTATTGGTTTGATTTCACTGATTGGTCGTTCATATGACTAGCGATGAATAATAATTATTTTTATCTAAATTAGCATTAATTTATATTTGGTTACCAATTTCGGGTGTTGATATAGAGTGTAGTTTTTCTGCATAAAATACGTAGAATTTTAGCAGATAACAGACAAAATTTGTCTGAAAATTCTATTGGTATGCTACATTTCAATAAATAAATAATATTTATTGGTTGGTTTAAAAAAATCGCATAATTTATGATCATTTTGCATAATTTCGGGAGTGATAAGCATCGGGCACATAATTTGAACTAATCGCATCGCATAATTCGACCTTTCATTTTGCATAATGCTGAGGTCTCTAGGATGGCTAAAGCTATCTTTAACACAAAAAAAAAAAAAAAGTTTTTTAAAATTACTATAAAAAAATTTTAAGTAATAAATTTTAAAGTTTTGCTTTAAAAAATTTTACTACTATATAAAATTTTTTGTTAAATTTTTTCAAATTTTATATATAAATAAGACTAAAAATAATTTTTACTTCTAATATAAATATAAATTTTTACAAGTAAATCATAAAAGTTGTAATAATTAAAGTTATTATTTTTTAAAAGTTTTATCAAATCAAATATTATAAAATGCATCTATTGTATTTAACATCATAGTATTATTTTAATTTGCAAATTTGTATAATAAAAACAAAAAAATAAATTTTTATAAAAACAAAAATTACTTTAGAGTTAGAGTAAGCTTGAAATTTTATCTAAACATTAATATATGAAAATTTAGCAAATAATTTTTTTTAATTAGAGTATCAAGAGTAGTTTTATAAGCAAAATTTTGAGATATTATAATTTTTTTAAAAAAATAATAAATTTTGATTGGTTATTCTAATAGTTTGTGTAATATAGTATTCAACACTTATAGTATATTTAAAACTTGTATCAAATTACTTAATAAAATATATCTCTAAAACTTAAATTAAACAAGTTTATCTTAAAATATTAATAAAATTTTTGCCAAAAATTTTTTTATAAAATTAGCTATTTTTAGCATATATATAATCTTAAATTTTTTTTTTATAATATAAAAACAAATATAGCAAAAATATAATTTTTATTTAAATTTTATTATCTATAATTATTTTTTAATATTTTTATAAGGTCTGGTGATTTTAGTATAGTAGTTAGGTTGTCAGACTGCTATGTAAGAGGTCTAGAATTTAAATCATACTGTTAACAGAATTAAATAATTACTTAGACTTTTGTATTTAACTTATAGTAAACTCTATCTGTTTCTGGAAGTTGTAATCCTATAAATCATATTGCACTAATATTATTCAGATATTAGAAGTATAACAAAGCACTTGAGGAACATAATATTATACAAATAAATCTTGATAGGATCTACAAGCAGAAGACTTGTATAGCAGAAATTTCAAGTTAGATAAAGTAGTACAGATTTTAATGATCATATCAGTTAATATTTGATCTAGAAAAAGAAATCTGTGTATAAAAAAATTAGTGACTAGATATGAGTAAGTTCATTAGAAAATCTGTATACAAAAAGATAATTAAAATAAGTGTGAATAAGTCTATTATACATAATTATATAGCAATACCACCTTGGCTTAGTAGCTAACTGAATTTGGGAGAATCTGTTTTGTGTAATATTTGGAGGTACAGATAACTAACAGCAACACTAATCTGAGTTAACTAGATTTTGAAAAACCTATCTTATATGATAGTAATTAGTTAAGATTTGTATTTTTTGCTAAAGTGTCTAGTAGTATAACTAAAATAGTTATTTGGTGCAAGTACTAGTTGTTGTATAAGTTTTCTTGTAGTAGAGTTTTCAATTGAAATAGTTTCAATATATTTGAATCATGTTAGGGTTTTGTCTTTAGGCAAATAACCTATTTGTGGAAATAGGTATTCCTATTTTAGGAGTATACTATTATTCATAGTAGTAAGTTGGTCTAAGTAGAGTATATTTTTTGTTTTAAGTTGTTTTTGAAAGTATTATAAGAGCTATATTTATTGAGTAATTTTTCAAGAAGATATGCTGAATGTGTTATCGTATGAGACTATATTATACTATAATATATATCTATTTGCATATTTAAATATTAGAGTAGCTAAATTATTTTGAAGTTAGTAGAATACTTATTTTTTCTATCAATAATCAGATTGGAATGATGAAGAATATTTGTAGTAGACTACAGATTATTTTGTAGTTATTGAATACAAATTTTAGTTGTTGTTCCTAGAATATTTGAATTATTAAGACGAAATAAAAATTTTGAGATATAGTGTTGAAGTTGTATATCCCATATATTATTAATTCTGTAGATATTATGGTTTAGCATAAGACTATTTGAAATACTTTATGAGAGATTAGATTTGTGTTTAGCTATAGTTAGGTGTATAGAAAGAATTTGTTCACAAGTTGTTTTTGATAAGACAACATTATGAATTCAGTATTCAAAAGTTGAAATAATAACTGTATTTATAATATAAGCTACTTGTTTGTTAGTTATTTATTTAGTTTTAAGGATATTGATAAGGTTTTGTGATTCCTGAGTAATAAGTTTTACTTGTTGGTAACTAGATAAAAACTAGCATCTTAAAAATTTAAAGGGTATATTTTTAGATTGTAGAAAGATTATCTGTTGAATAAAGTTAATAGATGATGGGTTTTTTGAATTAGTACTAAGAATAGACTTAAGTAGATTGATTTTTAGATTAGCTATTTTAAAGAAAGATGAAGCTAATTCTAGGATTTGTTCAAGTTTATTTTTTGAAGAAGCAATCTATAGTATATCATCTATGAATGCAAAAACAGATATTGATGCTTGAAGTTGGTTTGTTTAAAGATCTGTAGTCTAAGAGACTTCTAGACTATAGCCTTTATATGTTTTGGCAATTTGCATAATTAGAGGATCATAATATATATACTATAGGAAAGGTGTGATTATTTCTCCTTAGTTAATTCTATTTTTAACTATATAGAATTGAGTAAGTCCAAAGTTAGTAATAATTTTGTTAGAATAGTCTAAGAGCAGGTCAAGTATGATTTGAGTAAGTTGATGTAGGAGTTGAATTCTTTCAAATACTTTTTGAAGTAGATGTATATTGACTGAATTATATGCTTTGCGCATATCCTGTGATAGTAGCTAAAGCTCCTTGTTATTGCAGTATGAGTCTTCAATTATATTATTAAGAATATGAATTGAGGTAGAAGTACTATTTCCTGAAAAAGTAATGTAGTTAAGTAGTAATAAAATTTGCTTAGACATTAGAGTAGTGCTAAGATGATTTGTAAGAATTTTTGTATAGAGTTTTTTGATATGTTCGATCAAGCTAATCAGCCTAGTATTATATAAGTTGCTATCAAATACTAGTTTTTTTGAGATTAGAAAGATATAGAATATTTTCTATTGTTTTGGTATTGTTTAGTATATTAAACATCTGTTAAGCAAAATTGTTATTGTTTGTAGGAATAGATAACTAGTATGTTTAAACATTTCATAACTAATGTCTAATAGACTATATACTTTGTTGTTAGAGAGGTTTTGAAGAGTTAGAATAATTTCTTCAGTTGTGATAATATTAAGGATATTATCATAGTGAGATGAGTTGATTGAAGTAATAGGTTTATAACAGTTTTTCTATATTGAGCTAAAAATTTGTTAATTAGTAGGTTTAAAATCAGTTTATTGGTCGAAGTAGTTTCTGATTTGTTCCTTGATAAGTTTAGGATCAGTTATTAATTCTGTATTTGTTTTAAAATTTTGAAAAAAAATATGATCAGTATGCCTATCAAGAATACTATTAATCATTTTAGTTAGTTGTATTTAAAGAGCAGAGTATTATTTTTCTGTTGCTATATTAATTTGTTGTTGAATATATGATGAGTTTTCTATTTCTTAGACTTTGTGTAAAGTTTTCTAGTATTCTTGTAGGTCATTAAGCCAAGTTGAAATTTCATCATTATTAACAAGAAAGTTGCTAATATTTAGATTTTGTTATTAATTTAT